TAAAACTGATGACAAACTCTCACAAGACTGAGCAGTGAGATTACAGATGGAAAATCTGAACAAGAAGAACACAGTAACTGTGTACAGAATAAATCTTAACAGTGTGGTTTTTTAATAATTATCTTGCAAAAGAATTAATCAAGTATTTGAAACTCAAACCTCAATATCTCCAGCTGACAGTTTGAACTCTTCAGACCTTCAGAAAGCAGCTTCACTCCAGAATCCTGCAGGTCATTGTTACTCAGGTCCAGCTGTCTCAGGACGGAGTTTGGTGATTGTAAAACTGATGACAAACTCCCACAAGACTGATCAGTGAGATTACATGTGGAAAATCTGAACAAGAAGAACACAGTAACTGTGTACAGAATAAATCTTAACAGTGTGGTTTTTTAATAATTATCTTGCAAAAGAATTAATCAAGTATTTGAAACTCAAACCTCAATATCTCCAGCTTAGAGTTTGGACTATTCAGACCTTCAAAAAGCAGCTTCACTCCTGAATCCTGCAGGTCATTTTTACTCAGGTCCAGCACATTTAGATGGGTATTTGATGATTGTAGAGCTGAAGACAAACTCTCACAGGACTGAGCAGTGAGATTACATCCACATAGCCTGTGTAAACAAAACAAACAGCTATATTAATGTGAATTTATGAGTTTATATAGTTTATAATCCGCAGTGCATGTTTGTGATAAATAAAGTATAATTAGACCTTATTGACTTTATTGATTGAACTTTACTAGGTAACACTTTATAACAATTATACAATAACAAATCACTAATAACTCATTTTAAAACTATTGTAGTTCATTAATAGTTTATAAACTTTAGTTAATACATTAATAGGCTATATACAAATAGTGAGTTAATTCATTCATTATCACTGTAATTGTCACGATAGTGGGTCTCGTCTTTGTTTTCTCCGGACTCCATTTCCCATAACCCCTGCCTAAGAACACATTATCGCACCACACCTGTTTCCAATCAGTGACATTATAAAGGTTGCACTCATCCACACACACACATTGCTGATTATTGTTTAGCCTATGTTGTCTAGTTTCTGCCTTGTCTTGCCTTGCCTTCGTGTTTTGTTCTTGGACTGTTTACCTGGTTTGTGATCGTTGACTGCCTGTTCTTTGGATTACTCTTTTGGATTACCCTGGATGTACTGTTTTGCTGGTGTTTTGACCCTGCCTGTCCGACTACGCTCTTAATAAAAGCTGCAGATGCAATTCTGTTGTCACGCCTCTATCGTTACAGTAATTAACAAAGTGTTGCTGTTTAATTAGCTCATATGTAAAGAATTATATAATGCTTTATGAACAACATACTGATCATAAGTAGTACTCACTTAAGACTAGATCATGGAAAATCAGAAAATATCATTAAGTGCTATAAACCAACATTTATTGGACATTAATTGCATTCATTTTCAGTTTTTCTACTGTACAAACTGTATAATCTGTCGCCTAACTACCTCTAATCCTAACTGATGTATTTTACAACAGGCATTTGTTTTGATGCGAGAGATTCACAATGAATCATACAGTTGGTCCACTTGGCTAAAGGGGCTAAATTCTGGACACGAGTGACAAGACCGCTAATCCTCCCAGTCATTGAACGGGCCCCGTCCGTGCAAATCCCAACACATTTATCCCATGACATGCCTGCATCTCGTATATATCCATCCAGAACTTCAAACAATGCCTCGCCAGTTGTGTGATCTGGAAGAGACCGACAAAAAAGAATGTCCTCCTCAATATTACCATTTTTGAAATATCTGACATAGGTAAGCAACTGTGCTAGCCCTGCAACATCAGTTGTCTCATCAAGCTGTAGGGCATAGTACTGGCTTTGCATATTAGCTAGCAACTGCTCTTTAACGTCGCTTGCCATGTCAGATATGCGGCGGCTAACAGTGTCGTTAGAAAGGGGGATGTCACTAATCTGCTGAGCGAAATTATCTCCAAACATGACCTGACAAATATCTTTGGCAGCAGGTAAGATTAGCGCCACGGCAATTGTGTGAGGATTTCCTACTTTAGCAACTCGTTTGCAGACGTAGTAGAACGCTTCTAGACACCTGTTGGACACTGATGTGTGTTTGCTGATGTTGCGTTTTGAAAAAATCTAAGGGTTTGTCTTTGAGTGTCGGATGTTTTCGTTTCTAAATGGCGCTGCAGTTGCATGGCTTCATGCTGTCATTTGCCAGCAGATCTGCGCATATGACACACTGGTGCAGTGGTTCAGCATCTGTCCCAGTCACCGTAAAGCCAAACTGAATATAGCTAATGCTGTACTTTCGTGTTTTACACTTCTTAGGGGTAGGACCTGACGACGCATTGTCGTCACAACTCCTTTTCGGACGTGTGATGAACTTATCCATAAACTTCTCAAAATCTGCTCCGCTGCTAGTCACTGACATTCTGAAACGTGTCTGCACTGACAGCTGGATAAAAGGCAGGCTAAGCTCCGCCTCTCCCCATCGCCAAAAAAAAAGCAGAGGAAGAGGAACGCGGGTTTTTTTTTTTTCAAGCTGAGCAGGGTTTTTTTCCAAGCCAAGCGGGGGTTTTCCATTTGTGTATATTCTACTTGAAACGCAATAAGATGCAAAAAATACGATTACCCAAATAATGCTTTGTCTCGGTTTTTTCTTGAAAACCATTTTGCGCCCCCCTTCCGATCTCTCGGGCACTGTTGAGAACCACTGGTCAAAAGGGTACCATCAAAATAACTATACTGATATTACAATAAAAATAGTTCAAAGCAAATGTTGTCACATTTCTGTGACTAGTTGTGTGTGTTTGTTTCAGAGTTGCAGGTGATTTGCTGATGTGTGTGGTTCGCTACTGAACTGGATTATGGCACTTTATAAGGGACTGAGCCAAACAGACATGTCATTATTGTTTTTTGGTTCCTCTTGAGACTTCTGATGAGCTGCCGGGATGTGAGGGTGACAGAGGATCAAAGTGGACACGGGTTTCAGGTCTTGACCATCTACTCTCTGTATTTTACGTTGTTTGGATTGTCACTGTTTGTACTTACATTCATTTGCTGACATACTGACGTACATTTATACTGATAACGCATTTCACGCTTATTTCTTTAGTTAAATAAATATTGTCAAGCTGCAGTTGTGTGTGGTGTCTCCCTTATTTTGTTGCGGTTTGGTTATAATCGTGACAATGTGTACACATTCATCTGATCTAATATCTGATTTTATGGCTATTTGAGAAAAAAATATTATTATTTATAAGTGGTCTTAACACTTTATTTTAGGGTCTCTTAACTAGTTGCTTATTAGCATGCATATTACTAGAATATTAGCCATTTATTAGTAATAATTAAGCACATATTAATGCCTTATTCTACATCCCTAATCCTACCCAATACCTAAACATAACAACTACCTTACTAACTATTAATAAGCAGCAAATTAGGAATTTATTGAGGGGAAAGTCATAGTTAATAGTGAATAAGTGTTCCCTATACTAAAGTGTTACCCTTTACTTAAAGCAGACAGAACACTTATAAATAATAAGACCACATTATAAAGTCTTTTGGATGTATTCATGAAGACTTTGTAGTTGTCATCTTACAGTAAAAACACTAATAAGATGTACTAAATTATTGTGCAGAT